CCCGGCCCCGGCCTTCGCCCCTATTCCCGCCGATTTTGAAACCATTGCCAACCAACTGACGTCCGACGCCAATCTCCTGCCTCTTGCACAAGTTGATCGGGATATTTTGTTTTCTCAAGGACGGCTCTCTCCGCTTGAAGCGAATTCTCTTTGTCACTTATATTTGGATTGCATTTTGCAAAAGGGAACCAAGAGCATTACAATGTTGCTAGGATTGTGCAACTTACATTTTCGGCTAAAGGTTACTGAAATCACGCAAAAAATTCAATTTACAAAGGTAATTTTCGTCTTAAATTCATATTTTATTTGGAGTAAAGATAAAACTTGTTTAAATGATCAGTTTATACTTGCAAGGTAAAAAAAAGTTGCACAATTTCAGCAACATTGGAATACTCTTGGTTCCTTTTTGCAAAATGCATTCCATTTGTGACCGGGTTTGCACAGCACTAGAAAAAAAAGTCTCTTGGATCAAGAATCCAGAATTATATAGTTGACAAGAGAAAATGCTCTGGATTTAATCGAATTTGTGCTTGAATCGAGAGCTAAGACTGTAAATTTAAGCGAATTCTCTTTGTCACTTAAGTTTGTGACCGGATCTGCACAACACTAGAAAAAGAAAGTCTCTTGGATCAAGAATCCAGAATCAAATAGTTGACAAGAGGAAAGACTCTGAATTCAATCGGATTTTTGCTTGAATCGAGAGCGAAAACTGTTAATTTGAGCGAATCTCCTTTGAATAAACAGCGTCGCTTATACAACAACGAGAAGGAAACCGAAACTCCTTCAATCTTGGGCCTATGCAATTAGGACAAGCGTAGAGCACGAATAGTGGTATCCTGAAACCTGTAGTAATTTGGTACGGCGCAAGGTGGCTGCAACGCGTAACATCGCACAGACTGACAAGTGCGATTGAAACCAGCGCGCCTTCAATATTGTGCTATGCAATATGGACACTCGTCGAGCACAAATAGTTGCATTTTGTAATTTATAGCAATTTAGCACGGCACCGCGCATCAGATACCAACGAATCACAGATCAGTTCGCTGTCAACAACACTGGAAAAATAACACACTGGATCTAGAGTCTAGACTCTTGAAAACATTGACAAGAAAAAATACTCTTGATTCAATCAGATTTTTGCTTAAATCAAAAGGAAATCCGCTCAAATTAAGAGGCTTGGTTCTTGATTTAAGCTTCAATCTGATTGAATCAAGAGTATTTTTTCTTGTCGATGTTTTTAAGAGTCTGGACTCTAGATCCAATGTGTTTTTTTTTGTCCAGTGCTTAACATGACACAGACTCAACGACCGGAGAAAAAATCCGGATTTCGAGTAGATCCGACAACGTGCGGAGCACGTGAAGCTAAAAAACCCGGGGTATAATATATGGAGCCGCAAGGAACCGGGTTCCCGGGTAGGAAGATCGCCTGCATCATTAATAACATTGAAATCAACCCCCACGAGTCCAATTCGGAGGCCCACTTCGGACACCTCACATGGATTATTTACCCATCAAGATAGACCGCGGCTGCTAAATATAGTTGTTTCACTTTTGTTTCTACCTCCCGAGCTCCTAAAACTCCGAAACAGCCCTTGTCCATTTGTTCACTTTTTTAGGAGCGATTCCTCGCATGTTCCCTGTTCGAATACTTCATGAAGTCTATAATTTACTTGAGGACGTTAAGTGTAATCGATTTTTTGAACTTTCATTTTTTTTTATTTAGTATTCATTTATTTTGGGGCCCTTCGGGAAGTATACTTACGTTGCGCTGAATTTGGGATACTCCTTCGTTGCGTTTTTGTGACGTAGATCCCTGTCCTTTAAGGTCTTAAAAATCCGTTTTTCTGCTTTTTGTTTTGCAATAAGATCAGTGTTCGAAACGCACTTTTGAGTTTTAGGAGCCATGTGGCGCATCAAGCCCGATTTTTAGGCGCCATTGAAGATTTTTTAGGGGCCAAATTGCCTATATATTACGGCATATTTAGTGAAAAATTAGACGCAAGATGTTTTCTTAACAGAACTAGTAAGTAGCTGTAACTTGGGGCAGACAAAAGCACTAAGAATGAAATCGTGAAGAATAGAAAAGCTTTCACTTGTGGTGCTGAAAATTTCGAATAATCACCTAATATGAAAATTCAGATTTTTAGGGGGCAATTTTTAGGGGCCACGTTGGCGCAGAGCCTTCATTTTTTAGGCGCCATGGCCGATTTTTTCGGCGCATTCGGCGCGACGGCGCCTGTGAGTTTCGAACACTGATGGAAAACTACTGAACATAAGTTTTTTGAATAATATTTGAAGAATATTCTGTGAAAACTTTAAGCCATGATGTTGGCTTGGTCTCTTTTTAAAAATAAAATAGAAGTGGAGGTTTAGAAACACTGCAACCGAAAGACGCATTTTTGCAGTTTCACCGTCGCACAGTAGATCGAGTCAATCAAGGAGGTCGGACATAAAATTGTTGATGTTCATTTCGTCTCATTTTAAATTTTGAGTGGTGTTTCCAGATAAAAATTTCACGAGGAAACTAATAGAACCACTTTTAGAACCTCAAAATCCTGTATTAATGGAGTTATAAGCTTTGAAAGTTTCCAAAGTATATGCGACCTCTCCTATCGAATGGATCCACTATGCGTCGATGAGGCATACTTTGAATGAATTAAAGTATCTGAGGAATACTTACAGGCATTACATCACAGACGTCCTCGGCTAGGTCGGAGCAGTCCGACTCGTGTGGACCGAGGAAAGGGGGCCGGGGTGGCCGTGGCGGCGGGGGGAGGTGGAAAATAGGCGGGGGTCCCGGACAATCACAGTCGTACTCCGGGCCACCCTCCATGACAGCCGCCCGCACCCACACGCACTTTTCACCCGCGTTTCTTCACTGCGAACAAATACAAAATTACACACAAAATTAATATCAACATCGACAAAATGGCAGAAATGGTAGGAAAGCATCTCAAAATATGCGTCATGATGGTGCACTGGAAAAAAAACACATTGGATCTAGAGTCCAGACTCTTGAAAACAATGACAAGAAAATATACTCTTCATTCAATTGGATTTTTGCTTGAATCGAAACGAAATCCGCTTAAATTAAGAGCCTTGGTTCTTGATCTAAGCTAGATTCTGATCTTGTAGACGTCGCCTTCAAAGAGTCATTTTTGGGTGAAGGCCTGATTAGCTTCACCACTGCTATCCTGAGGAACGACGCCGTATGAACATTCGAGAGCTCCCAAATTTCCTCTGATAAACTGTTTATTTCTGAAGAGAGTTACAAATGTTTTTCCTTAAAATTTTTAGACACTTCAGATCAAATTACGAACAGAATCATCCGAGAAAAGAAAGGAAACATATTCACAAATTTTCCTAAAAATTAATGACTAGTCAAAGGAACTTTGGCAACGCCTGAAGGTTCTTACGACATTTTTCCTTGTCACGGCAGCATAGGTTTCGAGTATCATGTAGATTTTAGATTTTAGATTTTCAAGCTTTGAAGGACGTTGTAACGGACATACTCACCTCCCTCGGGATGAATAGAAAGTCCTTAAAATGCGGAAAGGACGCAAAAGGAGAAAGAGTGGGGATGAACATGCACAAACATTAGTGTTTAACAATGATGTTCTCGTTGCAGGCATCCAGCCTCCCTTCTTCACCTGAGCTGGCGTCGTATCTTAATTAAAGGGGAGCTGGAATTCCGGGAGTGGGAAGGGGGGGGGATGGCGGGGGTAACTAGACCCGGACGATTAATAAAATCTTACACCTGTAATTTGCAGCTTCTCGCCGATTGCGATTGCTGCGCGCCTTTTTATCGCCTTGCACCGTTAATTGCCGCGCGGGCGTGTGTGTGTCGCGACATTGTTCGTGTGCGCTTGTGTGCGAGGTGTTTCTCTGGGATGCGAGTTATCATGAGCGCTCATCGATCAAGCGGTCCCCCGGCATGCTGCCATATTTTAACAATTTCGCACGAAGTGAGGGTTTAAAAATCTAAGCTTAAGATAGGATAAATGGTGGCAAAATTTCATGAAAAATAAAATCTTGAAATTTCACGTGAAATATTTCATGAAATTTCAGACATTTCAGAGAGATATTGAAAAATACCGGTTCCGTTTCATGCCTCGCAAAACGTAAAAATTGTGAATTGTGACTTTCCTCTATTTTTGTGTGTTCGAGTGCGAGTTGCACACTCTAGCCCCTGAAAAATATGAAAGGTTTCACAGCCTCGTGAAAGTTCATGAAATATTTCACTGAAGTTTCCAATCTTTCATTTCTTTCTTATAGATATTTCATGCCATCCTGATAGAACATGGCGCCTGCCGGTAGGAGAAACCGGAAAATATCAGGACATTTGATGGTACCAAATTTAAATTTTAGGTATTTTAAACGAGTCGTTATCTGATGACGATATCCTAGAATATTCATCTTCATGATTACCATTTGATGGATTGAATCTGTCTTGTAAAATGGGCATTTTTAGAATGAAATCCAGTGATCGTTCTCGAACATTCAATGCCAAAGAAACAAGAAGATTTATGAGAAAAACGGTCCAACGGATAAACGTATTTGCTAAAAATTCTGAAGGTTATCCATCGAATCCACAAATTAAATGCGCAACGTGGCAACGACGTCTTGCAATTACCTTGCGCGCTGATTGAGCTATCAACCACGCAAAACTGTTTTCTGATCAAGGAGAACGGTTTCTTCTTGTTCTTCCTCTTCTTTTTGCGAAATTGAGAAATTAGGAATTCCGCCGGAGCGCTTTCCATCATTATGCAGGATAGGAGGCGGCCTCGTTGAGATCTGCCGCACCTTGAATGCTACTCTTGGAGAATCGACGAAACAAATATGTTTCTGCACAACGACTTTATCCACGCGCAGATTTTTCACACACTCCGCGTACTTTTTTCCTGTAAAAGAGCTTGCAAATTACTGCTGAAAAGTTTGCGAAAATATTTTTAAAATATTTTCTTAGTGTTGCAAAGTAATTTTGAAAAACCCGATCTTTTGAATGCGGACTCCGTTTCGGATTTTTTCGAATATATTCGCTCATTTTCTGTAGTTCCCGGCTGATGAGGTCATTTTAGAAATCCCGAATCACGTCTTCGAGCATCCTATGATGACATCATCGACTACCCTATGATAACGTCATCGAAGTACATTCATTCTGCACCTGCCATTTGCACCCATCTACGGCTATTATAGGATTTTTTCGATATTTTAAGGTATTTTTGGCTATGTCCGGCTGTATTCGACTGTTTCAGACGTAAAACTACAAGTGAGTCACAAAAACGTCACAATGACGTATACTCAAAACTACGTATTCTCTAATTCCAGGGTTTCATTTCAGATGCATGCCGATAATATCCCTCTTTCCGCAAAATGGAAAATACCTCTTTTGGAAAGGTGCCCTACACGAATGACGTTAGGTTTTAAAGGAGGAGGTGGAAATAATGGTACTGTCTCTATCAAGGTACCCTGGTGACCGATGTATGAAAAATACCCATGAAAAGGAAATAATCCGGTTTGATTTCGTTGTTTCCTCCTTTCTTTGATCTAAAACGTTTTTGAAGATGTTAATGCGAGTTCTAAACGCTGATAATGGGAGGAAACAAGGCAGAACACGCGGAATCGGGGTTTGATAGCTGGTCTGGACGAAACAGGAGTGCTGTTTGCAGTGCGATAGCTTCCACGGGATACTCGGGCAGAATGGGTAATGGAGAATCCTGGGTCCGGGAGAATAACATGTCAGCGCTGAGAGCTTGTCGTATATCATAGCCCGGGTTCGATTCTGGCCACGCTTGGCGCACTGTGGGGCGACGAGGACTTTTCCTTCGCAAAGCGATTCAGGGTGCACTGGTAAAAAAAACCTCTTGGACCAATGCCGCATTGCATTGACTTAAGAGTGCAGTTTCTTGTCGCCGGATTTATGAGTCTTGAACTCTTGTTTCAAGCGGATTTTGCGTTGATTCAAGCGGATTTTGCATTGAAACAAGAGTCCAGACTCTTAAATCCGGCGACAAGAAACTGCACTCTTGAACCAAGAGGTTTTTTTACCAGTGTGTCCGCTGAAACAGGCTGGCCAAAAATCAGTGCTTTTACAGCACTTTCCCAGTCCATTCCCGAAAAATTCAGTACCTACTCATAAGAGAAATTCCGAGCTTTTTCAGTACCTCCAATTGACGAAATTCGAAAATTTTCAAAAATTTGAATTCCTCGCTCGAATTGCGACAAAAATGACAAAAATTCCGGACATCTTCGCGAAATTCCGCACTTTTTCAGTACTTCCGGACCGTCCTCAAAAAATCAGTACTATATCCAGACTTTCCGGAAATTCCGGGCTTGTAGACACCATGCGATTGGAAGTTTCGAGTTTTATCGGTTAAGATCGAGAATTCCGACGGGTGGAAAACCAACATCTATAAGGGACCCACAGGGCGAGGTTACCAAAACCCATATTGGTCCATCCACCAAAATCGGCTTCAGATCCGAGTGAGGTTAAAGATTCTTTAAGCCGTCCGAGAAAGCAATTCTCCCAGCTCACCGTGAGCCGGTTTCATTGCCTAGCCTGTGGCTGTATTGGTTTGTAGACTCAACGCCGTACAGCTGTAATTTCCGCAGAATCCTTTCCTGTTTCCCACAAACGCGAATAAAAAGATTATTTTTTAAGAGAAACCTCCCAACGCTGCCCTCGAGGCTGCCAGACAGTAGGAACAGTTCCCATTCTTGCCGCTACGGGAGAGAATTTTGAAATCGTTGATTTTGACTTGAAATTTGGCCTGCTTCAGCTTTGCGCCTGATTTCATATGGACTGCAGCAGTGCAGCACTGCCGTGCTAGGAAACCACGCCGTATAAACCTTCGGGCGTTGCCAAATTTCCTTCGATAAAACGCGAATTTCCTGATGAATTTATGAATATTTTCCTCCCAATTATTCAGATAATGTAGTTCGTAATTTTACCGAGAGATTCTGAAAATTTAAAGGAAAAATATTCATAACTTTCCTAAAAATAGACATTTTATCAAAGGAAATTTGGCAACTCTTGAATGTTCGTACGGCGTTCTTCCTTAGCACGGTGGAGCAGCGCTACGTGCTCGACGGAATTTTTCCACGATCCCAGGGCAATTTGGCATATGAGACTGACCCGTCTCGGACCCCCCCCCCTTCCGATGTATCCTGGATTGATGGTTATGTTCCTACTGCACTGACCGTTCGTGGAGCTTTTTTCCCATCGGAGAGGCGAAGGGGAAGAAAGGGAAAGGCCCCGGGATTTTGGCAAGACACCAACGCCAGGAAATTGGGAACGCCTCTCTGGCGAGGTGGAGATCTTTGCAAGTTGGCAACACATGGTTTTCTCGATTTAAATCAATGGAAAATGAAAAATACTGAGTAGGATATATAACAAGATTTTTTGGGATTTCAAGATTCCCTGACTTTTCAGGGATCACTGGAAAAAAAACACATTGGATCTAGAGTCCAGACTCTTAAAAACGTTGACAAGAACAAGGACTCTTGATTCAATTGGATTTTTGCTTGAATCAAAAGGAAATCCGCTCAAATTAAGAGGCTTGGTTCTTAAATTAAGCAAAAATCCGATTGAATCAAGAGTATTTTTTCTTGTCGATGTTTTTAAGAGTCTGGACTCTAGATCCAATGCGGTTTTTTTTCCAGTGTGACTTTTCAGGGATTGTAACATAAAATTCCCTAACTTTAACAGGACATTTTTTCAGAGCATAATTTTTTAGTGCAAGGATTATTTTTAAGAAAAATGTTAAGCGTTTAATTTCCTGTTGTTAAAAACACTGGAGTTTTTTGGTAAGAAGAAAAACTCCCAATTGGTCTCCGCGAAAAACACAAAATTACCTGGTTTTACTAGAATTACCCTGA